TTGGATAAGTTTTACCGTGTTTGATTTTACCAATTAATTTGGCGTGTTCTCACGTCTTACCCTATTTGCCTCGCGTTCACCTTTTTTGCGCGTAGTTACCAATCATTTACCTTTTTTGACGCGGTGGTTCTTACCACTTGTTTGAGACGGTTTGCCTTTTACATCTGAAAGGACCTTTATTGGGTAAAATTAACAAAACTCATTTAAAAAGAAGATTGAGTTGAAAAATAATTTGTGAGCGTTATTATTATGCAAGTGTGGAAAAACATGAGAGAAGAAATCTTCCCTCAAAAGCATGGCTCTTCAAATGCCTTCATACTCTAAATATGACAAATAACAGCTTAAAAATGAGGCAGGATATTTATGCCACATGCTTGTAAAATCACATGTAGCTTTACCATGTAGAGTACGTCTTACTCTTTCAAGACTTGGCCGGATTTCTCACCATTTTGATGACTCAAGAACCTTGCAGTACACACCAATACTTATATGCTACATGATCAACCATTTGTGATCAATTCTACAAACCGTTTCTTTCACAATGCGATCGCATGACCTGAACTCAACTTTATCTTTAAGAGTTTATGTAGCCCAAAAACATCTACTTTCAAATCTTGATCTGTGTGTATTACTTTTTGTTCATATATTAGGGTATTTTCCGTCAGCCAATTTGATATATAGGGACAGGGAATAGTTTTGTGTAGAAGTAAAAGAAAAAAATTAGTGTGCCTACATGCGTTTTTTTAAATATTTTTTTAAAGTTTAAATCACGAAACCAAACTCAATTTGAAGCTGCAATACAGATATGAAATGTTAATGCTGATGTACTTTTGTTTTTAAGGTCGACGACCCTCCGGAAGAGATGAAAACAAAGAGGAGGTGACCCTACTCACTCAAGGTATATTTAAACATTAAAGTCTCTAAATATGTCCCGACGTTTGCTCCGGACTTTATTTCGTCAGAAAGAGAGTTTTGACTTGGATTTCATTGTTTTTCTGATATTAAGGGTGAAGGGTAGGTCAAGGGTGTGATTTGAAATTGGCTCACAGGAATTGCCACTGGATCATACATGTAGGTCGTATAATCGGAAAAAATAGACATAGCTCTTACTTTAATTAGAGGTTAATTCATCATTTTGATGACAGTAACTTGTCGTCTGGAACGTTATATTGATATATATATATATATATATATAAATATATATATATATATATATATATATATATATATATATATATATATATATTTATACGTATATGTGTATATTTGATTTTATATTCTACATTTATATCTAAAGTCTTAACAATAATTTTTTTTTTCAATGCTACTTTAGTGCATTAATAGGCTAGTACCCATTAAATTAATTTGGCGTGTTCTCACGTCTCACCCTATTTGCCTCGCATACACCTTTTTTGCGCGTAGTTTCCAATCATTTACCTTTTTTGACGCGGTGGTTCTTACCACTTGTTTCAGACGGTTTGCCTTTTATATCTGAAAGGACCTTTATTGGGTAAAATTAACAAAACTCATTTTAAAAGAAGATTGAGGTCTGGAGAGAGGTGAATATAGTTTGTGAGCGTTATCATTATGCAAGTGTGGAAAAACATGAGAGAAGAAATCTTGTGAAATCACATTTAGCTTTACCATGTACAGTACGTCTTACTCTATCAAGACTTGGCCAGATTTCTCACCATTTTGATGACTCAAGAACCTTGCAGTACACACCAATACTTATATGCAATGCGATCGCATGACCTGAACTCTACTTTATCTTTAAGAGTTTATGTATCCCAAAAACATCTACTTTCAAATCTTGATCTGTGTGTATTACTTTTTGTTCATATATTAGGGTATTTTCCGTCAGCCAATTTGATATATAGGGACAGGGAATAGTTTTGTGTAGAAGTAAAAGAAAACAATTAGGGTGCCTACATGCGTTTTTTTAAATATTTTAAAAAAGTTTTAATAACGAAACCAAACTCAATTTGAAGCTGCAATACAGATATGAAATGTTAATGCTGATGTACTTTTGTTTTTAAGGTCGACGACCCTCCGGAAGAGATGAAAACAAAGAGGATGTGACCCTACTCACTCAAGGTATATTTAATACATTACAGTCTCTAAATATGTCCCGACGTTCGCTCCGGGCTTCATTTCGTCAGAAAGAGAGTCTTGACTTGAATTTCATTGGTTTTTCTGATATTAAGGGTGAAGGGTAGGTCAAGGGTGTGATTTGAAATTGACCTCACAGGAATTGCCACTGGATCATACATGTAGGTCGTATAATCGGAAAAAAATAGACATAGCTCTGACTTTAATTAGAGGTTAATTCATCATTTTGTTGACAGTAAATTGTCGTCTGGAATGTTACATATATATACATAATTTATATAGGCGTGAAGATAATGGTCTAGGAACGTGAGACGTAGCTGTACTTTTCAAGTTTAGAGTTGAGAATTCTCGCACTTTTATGAATTATCTATTTGTATATTTTATCTTATATTCTACATTTATATCTAAAGTCTTACCAATAATATATTATTACATTTTTCAATTCTACTTTAGTACATGAATAGGCTAGTACCCATTACATTATGTTCGGTCGTCAATTATATTACCTCATCGCTCTTCTTGCATCTTCCATAAGCATCATAAGAATATCCAAAATCTATTTTTCTTTGTATTTTCAGTATTCATTTCATTGAACGAGGTCGTCAGGCTACGATTTTATATATCAAAGGAAGTAGATAATTATTATGTGATACATAAATGAAATATGTGATCTATGATTAAATACACAAATTCAACTTTTTATTGATAACAAGTGTAACGTTTCTTGCTTTCCACAGTTGATAGTTCAGTCTCGCTCCCATCCTCTACCGTGAGACACCGTAACGTGATGAGGTACAGCGTTTTCATATACTGCAACGTAGTGAACAAGGCATCGTACGCGTTTTTCCTTCAAGGGGATATCTCCTGATAAATTACAAGATAATATTTATCGCCAGAGAATACCATGTACAGGCACTACATCACTCACAAATACACACACTCAAACAAATACACACAAACCTCTAAACACTAGCAAAACCCTCACACACATACATACTCACAAAAAAATACAGTATATATGTATATAAATATATATATATATATATATATACAGTGCGTCCCAGAAAAACGAAACCGACAATTATCGATGTTTTACCTTAACTTAATCACAATTATAATTAATAAGTGACACATATTTGGAAAGCTTAGATCCTCCTCTTTCATTTGATGCAACTCGTATAATCCATATTTCACGCATGAGTAATTAAAATGAATTTGAAGAGAGGATAACAAAAAGTCATTTGGCGGATGGTATCTGAATTTCAAAAAGAAAATCACATTTCTAGAAAGTTGAGTTTCTGCCCTTACATATGACACCTCAGTCAGGAAAAATGAGCTAGGAATAAATTCTATTTTATTTTAAAACGAATTCGTTTTCACTGCCTGTCTGCTGTAGCAGCAAACGAAATTAACAAAAGACTTAACTCCGTTTCGTTGACATTCAGCCGTAGACGAAATACTTCATGCACGGCTGATTGTCAACGAAACGGAGTTAAGTCTGTCGTCAATTCTGCTTGTTGCTACGGCAGGGAGCCAGTGAAAACGAATTCGTTTGATAAAATTATGGAAATGCAAGCACTACTTTAAACAAACAGAACTTTGTTATTCCTAGCTCATTCTCACGATTGAGGTGTCATATGAAAGGGCACAAACTCAACTTTTTAGAAATGTAATTTTCTCTTTGAAATTCAGATACCGCCCGCCAAATTACATTTTGGTTCCCTCTCTTCATATTCGTCTTAATCACTCATGCATCATATGAGTTGCATCAAATGAAAGAAGAGTATCTAAGCTTTCCAAATATGTGTCATTTATTGATTATAAATGTGACTAAGATATTATAAAACATCGATAGTTCTCGGTGTAATATCCCGCAGGTATGTACTGCCAGCTACGGCAGGGAGTACACACACACATGCACGGAATGTAAGTGCTCGAAACGGAACGTCAAGATGTTGAATAAATAAACTCACTTCCTAAATACCCTAGTTCAAGATGTATCTTTGTTAACTACATAAAGATAGAGATTTTACAATGGCGACGAGACGGGATCCACTTTGTGCTCTACTGTTCGACAAAAAAGTGAACTTTTGACTTTTTTTCCACAGACGGTACGTACACGTACGTGTGATGGTGACTGAGTGTGTACCGAGTAACTTTTGTGCCCCACGTATTGACATTCATGTGATCCAGTGAATAGCCCAATATGTCTATGCCCATTCTACCACCGTTTGACCCTCACGGGGACAGTGCATCTTTGAGTCAGAGATGGGAACAGTATATAAAAAGATTTGAAGGAGCCATGGTTGGGTTCAATATCATCGGACCAAAACGAAAACGGGCCCTTCTGTTGCACTATGGAGGTGAACAGCTCCAGAATGTGTTCGACACCCTACCTGATACAGGGACTGACAATCATTATGAAAGGGCATGTGATGCTCTTAAAGCCCACTTCGTGCCGAAGAAGAACATCATTTACGAGACGATTTTGTTTCGTAGACTCACCCAAGAAGCTGATGAAAACGTTGCAAAATTCTGCACCAGATTACGGAAGGAAGCGGAAAAGTGTCAGTTCACAGAGGTGGAACGTGAATTAGTCACTCAGATTATTACCGGCTGTCGGTCAGGACAGTTACGTAGACGCGCCCTTGAGAAACAGACATCTCTCGACACACTTATAGAGCTAGCTCGATCACTTGAGTTATCACATGAGCGGGCGGATGGAGTCGAAGCAGACAAGGTTACACAATTCCATCGCGGTTCTTCACAACAGAAAGGGCGTGCACGTCCCAACCAGAAAAACATCACAGTGTGGAAATTGTGGCTATGGCTATCCTCACACTGGAGACTGCCCTGCAAAGGGCAAACGCTGCAACACCTGTAATAAAATGAACCACTTTGCATCAGTTTGCCGCAATGGCAAACCAGTCAAATCTGTCAGCGATGATAATGCCACATCACTCCCTAGTGCAGACACCTCGCAGAACCCTGTTGACACGATCCATGAGTATATGTTCGCAGTGTCAAACACCAAGCCGCCAACACATGTAGGTATAACCATCGATGGCATACGCTGTTCTATGATTATCGACTCGGGATGTTCGCGAAACATCATCGATGAGCCTACCTACAAGAAACTGAACGTGAGCCTTAAGAAATCTTCTATCCGCCTCTTCCCGTATGGTTCGAAAACACCCTTGAGTGTCCTAGGTGTGTTTACCGGTAGCCTCGAGTCACAGAGAAAAACCACTGCTGCAGAAATATATGTGGTGAAGGGCTCATATGGATGTCTTCTTGGGCGTAGCACTGCTGAAGATCTCAATTTGATCATCATCAACGACACCGCCAATGCTGTCAATGCAGAAAATGACTATACATCTGCATACCCAAACCTATGGTCGGGGGTTGGGAAGCTGAAAGACAAGAAGGTGAAACTCAATATTGACACCTCAGTTCCTCCAGTCGCACAACGGTTTCGCAGTACACCATTTCATCTGCGAAAACAGATTGAGAAACAGCTTGCTGAGCTACAGGACGCCGACATAATCGAGGATGCTACTGGGCCGACTCCATGGGTTTCGCCGATTGTAGCCGTTCCCAAGCCAAATGATCCACAGAATGTTCGGATTTGTGTGGACATGAGGGCGGCTAATAAGGCTGTCATCAGAGAGCGTCATCTTACACCTACAATGGATGAAATCATCACTGAGTTGAACGGGTCCAAGGTATTTTCTAAGTTGGATCTAAAATCTGGATACCATCAGCTCGAGCTTGAACCTGAGAGCAGATACATAACCACGTTTGCAACGCATGTTGGACTGAAGCGCTACAAGAGGCTGAATTTCGGCATATCCTCTGCGAGTGAAGTTTTTCAGAACGCCATTCGTCAGACATTAGAAGGCATACCAGGAGTCCTCAATGTGTCTGATGATATTCTTGTACATGCACCTGATGAAGCGTCACACAATGAGAGGCTGAATACACTCTTTCAACGTCTGCAAGAGCAAGGACTGACCCTGAACACGCAGAAATGCCAATTCAACAAGACAACGATTTCTTTCTTTGGCCTTGTATTCTCAGCAGAAGGAGCGTCGCCTGATTCTGATAAGGTTGACGCTATCCACCAGGCTGCACGTCCGCAAAATGCCCAGGAAGTGAGAAGTCTTCTTGGCATGGCCAGTTATAGCTCGCGTTTTATTCCCAATCTCGCGACAATCACTGCACCTCTCCGTAGCCTCATGACAAAAGGAGTGAAATTTGAATGGAATCAAGAGCATGAAGCAGCGTTGAAAGCGTTGAAGGATTCCATATCAAAAAGTGCAGTATCATCATACTTTGACACAGCCAAGCGTACAATTCTGTATGTCGACGCCAGCCCAGTGGGACTGGGAGCCATGTTGACCCAAGAGGGAAGTACAATCATATATGCTAGTCGTTCCCTTACACCAACAGAACAAAGATACAGCCAGATAGAGAGAGAAGCTCTTGGTATTGCTTGGGGTGTTCATCGTCTTCACACATATCTTTTTGGTCGGAACTTCACGGTGGTCACCGACCACAAGCCTCTGATCCCTATCTTTGGAAAGCCAAAGATTGTACCATCAGCACGCATTGCAAACTGGATGTTGAAACTCCAGCACTACGACATGGATGTAATCCACGCCCCTGGAAAGACAAACCCAGCTGACTACATTTCACGGCATCCCTGTAGTGATAGCGCTAGTACACCAATGCCAGATGTCGAAGCCTACATCAACTTTGTGGCTCATCATGCAGCTCCAAAAACCGCCAGTCTCGACGACATACGATCAGAAACAGCCCGCGATTCTGCATTACAAGCTACGATCGAAGCCTATCGCAGTGGAAAATGGGAGAATCTCAAAGGCTCTCATCGCGCTATGTGGAATGTTCGCAATGAAATTGCAGTCACTGAAGATGACATTGTGCTGAGGGATAAGCGTATTGTGATACCAGAAGCCCTTCATAAGCGTATCATCGATATCGCACACGAGAGTCACCCAGGTATTGTGCGTACGAAAGCATTGCTCCGCTCAAAGGTTTGGTTTGAATCGCTTGATAGTAAAGTGGAATCACTTGTGAAAGATTGCCATGTATGCCAAACCGTACGCGATATCCGTACGCCTCTGGAGCCCCTCAAGATGTCACAAATGCCACCCGGTCCTTGGCAGAATTTGAGCATTGATTTCTGTGGTCCGTTACCCACAGGAGAGTATTTGATGGTACTCATTGATGAGTTTTCGAGATACCCAGTTGTAGAGGTTGTAGGTTCAGTGTCCGCTAGAGCTGTGATACCCGTTCTTGATAAAGTGTTGTCTGTATTTGGATTTCCGAAAGTCCTCAAGAGCGATAATGGAAGCCCATTCAATTCGAGTTCATTCGCCGATTACGCGTCTCACTGCGGATTTCAGCATCGTCGAATCACTCCTCACTGGCCTCGAGCTAATGCTCAAGCAGAAGCATTTAACAAACCACTCATCACAGCCGTACGCGCTGCACACCTCGAAGGAAAGAATAGGAAACAACAGCTGTACATATACCTACGACAATATCGTGCCACACCACACTCTTCAACGCGAGTAAGCCCATTTCGATTGATGTTTAATCGAGAACCGGTTACGCGCCTCCCAGAAGTAGATGTTGCTCATGACAACACATCATCAATGGTCAACGATGAAATTGCTGCCAGTCACTCGAACGCGATAGCGAATGATCATGTAGCGAAAGCAAAGCAAAAATCCTACGCTGACAAGCGACTGCACACAGTGTAATGCGACTTCAAAGTAGGTGACAAAGTGATAGTGCGTAATGATGCACGAGGTGATAAATTCACACCCCCGTATAATCCTACCCCTCTAGTGATTATCAAGAGGAAGGGTAACATGATCACTGCTAAATGTCAATCAACATCGTGGTGCGTCACACGCAATGTATCCTTCTTTAAGCGATCGCCTTCACAGTCACAGCTTACTCAACAGACGGACAAGTCAGAACAAAGTGACAAAAACTCAGAAACTGTGGTCCCAAACCGCACCAGAAGGCCACCAGCCTATCTAAAGGACTACAAAACCTAAACTGAATACTAAAACCATTGAAGAAGAACTTTTGTAACCAATGTTTAAAGTTGTTTTGTGAAATGCTAAGATGCTTTTGTTCATATCCTAAGGGATATTGCATTTATGTTTCATTATTCTGTTGGTATTAATCACACATGCAAGAAGATGTGTTTATTCATGTTCATTCATTTTGAGGGAAAGAATTCCTGTCATTTTGAGAGTTTAGTGTTCCATACAATACATGTATCGAAACAGTGTTTGTGTATTTGATACATTATGTTCATTTAAGCTAAAGAAAAGGAGGAAGAAATATGCTTTCTATGTTTGAAATACAGTCAGTCATTTTGAAACGGTATGATCTCTTATTAATTGATCTGTTTGTAACCATGGTAATACTCAATTTGTGAAGATATATGTACCAAATACATGTACCTGGAAAAAACATTTTTCAACCTGATATACATAGTTCTGTACACTGATCATGCATGTACTTCTTTGAAGAAAAACAATTATAATGAAATTTTGTATTTGAAAGAAAGATACAAACACACTAAACCTTTATATTGATATTTTCATTTTGTTACTCTTGAAAGTGTCAAGAAAAATACATGTATGTGTAACAAGTTTATTGTTTTATGATTATGAAACAAATCTAAAGAAAAGGAGGGATGTAATATCCCGCAGGTATATACTGCCAGCTACGGCAGGGAGTACACACACACATGCACGGAATGTAAGTGCTTGAAACGGAACGTCAAGATGTTGAATAAATAAACTCACTTCCTAAATACCCTAGTTCAAGATGTATCTTTGTTAACTACATAAAGATAGAGATTTTACACTCGGTTTCGTTTTTTTCTGGGACGCACTGTAGATATACCGTACTTATATACACTGTCGCTCATATAGTTGGAATATTTTTTTTTACCCCAAATTATGGTATTATTTTGACAATGATTTATTCCTATTAGATCTATATAATTGTATACATTCTCAGATTTTATTGAATAATAATTTTCCATTGTTTGTTTCTTACTTAGACGACGAGCGCACAAATCGTAGGCGTAGAAGCCTTCTGCCCGGGCATTGGCCTCTCTACATTAATTGACATGCAATGTCCTTTGTAATCATGTGTCTAGTGACTCTAGTCTAGATTCTACAATAGATCTACAAATTACAAGGCAAGGTGATAACTGATATCATTATCAATACCATATTTGTATATGACTGCACGCACTTCACTGCACTGCAGCTTTTGCAGGTGTTTATTGAACTTGTTTGTAAAACACATCTCATGATTCTCAATCTCAATTCTCATTCTCATTAATTTTCATTCTCATTTTTAGTCTCTGACAAAACAAACGCATACGACAACATTATACTTACATCATCCGTAGCTATTTGTCCTTCTTGTTATAAGCATAATGTACTCTGTAAAAATTAACTTAATACGGCAAGAATTAGTGAAATATGTTTAACTGTGAGGCTCCAATTCATTGTTGTGGACTGCGCCATTTTGCTTGGCATCATCATCATCATCATCATCATCCCGAGACCGTAGAAATACTGGCTGGGTTCCAGCGGGGTGCTAGTCTGATCCCGGTGTTCTTACCAGAGGAGAGGAGCTAATAGGTGACGCTGTTAGCTCTAGACAAACTTTCATAACCCTATGACGAGAACACGACAAGGCGGGTCGGGTCGCCTTCAAATAAACCTCGTCCTGCACCGGGCAGCAGCGATGCAGTACCTGTAGTTGGCGGAGGATCCAAACCTTGGACAACGGTGGCTACGGGGGAGCAGAGGGCAGGTCGGCAGTAATGCTTCTGGCTTATGTACTGCGATGGAAGGATCTGGCCGCCCACCATTATTAATTGGTCGCGTTTGTCAACATGAGAGTACAAAATCAACAAGTCAAGTGGGTATCGGAAGGTGGTACCCGCAGGCCGGAAGATACGTCAAGAGCTACTGCGGAAGAGAGAGGTACTGCTCGTAGTACGCTTGCTGGTGATGACGGATCAGGATCAAAGCCTCTTGCAGGAAGTTCTCTCTTGAAGGTCCCATGATGGAAAGGAACAGCACCTCTCTAAGGAAACCAATCAATGTAGCCACGTGGAACGTGCGTGGTATGTCAGATGGGAAGGTGGAAATGGTGGAGAAGGAGATGGCTTTAAATGATATTAAAGTTTTGGGAATATCTGAAACATGGTGGCTTGGACAAGGCAGATTTACATCGGACGAAGGAAATACAATCATCTTTTCAGGGAAAGAAAGTGGAAGGAAGCGAGGGGTGTGGGATTCATCATAGAGAAGGTTACAGCTAAATGTGTCTTGGGGTACAACCCGATCAACGAGAGAATTATGACTGTGAGATTACAAGTACATCCTATGAATATCTCCATAATTCAGGTATATGCACCAACAGCAGATGTACCGGATGAAGAAATCACTGATTTCTATGAGATGGTACAAGATGTCGTAGACAGCATTCCTAGGAAAGATTTCCTCATAATATTGGGTGACTGGAATGCCAAGATTGGTAAAACGAGGGGAAAATCTGAGTACATTGGCAATTATGGTCTTGGCATCAGAAATGAAAGAGGAGATCGACTGGAAGAATTTTGTGTAGCAAACAGCTTCATCATTGGTAACACGTGGTTTGAGCATCATCCCAGAAGACTGTGGACGTGGATGAGTCCGGGAGACAGAGCCAGAAACCAGATAGACTACATCATGGTCAAGAAGAGGTGGCGGACTTCACTACAGAACGTCAAGACAAGACCAGATGCGGACTGTGGTAGCGATCATCAGTTGCTTGTGGCTAAACTGAGACTAAGACTGAAATCTAAGAAAAGTGATTCAGCTCCCACAAGGTATGATGTTGAAAACATCTCTTCTCAATTCTCAGTGGAAGTGAAGAACAAGTTTGAGCTGCTGTTGAGAAATGATGAAGCAGAGCAAAAACCAAATGAGCTGTGGGAAGACATGAAAGAAACAGTTGAAAATGCAGCAAAGAATCACATCCCAAAGAAAAGAGAGCGGAAACAACCATGGATCTCAAATCATACTTTCGACATTGCTGATGACAGAAAGAGGGCAAAAGCAAAACGCAATAGAGGAGAATGGACGAGGCTCAATAAGGCGGTGACAAGTAGTGTGAAGGAGGACAAAAGGAATTACATCGAGGGGGAGTGTGAAGACCTAGAGCGTCACAAGAACAACTCCAAGGCAGCATCTGCAATTGTGAAAGAAATCACAAAGAAAAGAAACCCAAGACTGGCTGTAATTAATAATGAAAATGGCAAAACACTGACAGAGAATGAAGACATCAAGGAAAGATGGATGCAGTATAGTACCAAGCTGTTTGTTGCAGAGGAACAAGTTGACACTCAGTGGGAGGAAAGTGATGAAATGGAGCCCTTTCCATTAAGATCAGAAGTGGAGCTTGCAATGAAACAACTGAAGGATGGCAAGTCCCCTGGTTTTGATAACTTGACTTCCGAGATGTGGAAGGCTACAGGGGAAGAAGGTACTGACCTGATGTGGCGTCTCAGTTGCAATATCTGGAATAGTAGAGAGTGGCCTAAGGACTGGTGTAGAGCTGTTTTTATTCCATTGCCAAACAAGGGAGATCTGAAAAAATGTGCAAATCACCGAACGATCAGCTTGATCTGTCATGCAAGCAAAATACTTCTGAAGGTGATTAGCAGAAGAATGAAAATCAAACTGCAAGCCGAGATCTCAGATGAGCAAGCAGGGTTCCGTGAAGGTAGAGGGACAAGAGAACAAATTGTCAACATTCGAAACATAATAGAGAAATGCAGAGAACACAAACATCCCCTCTATTTGTGCTTTATAGACTATAGCAAAGCATTTGACTGTGTTAGCCACTCTCAATTGTGGAATACAATGGCAAAGATGGGGTTCCCAATTCACATCAGCAAACTGATCAAAAACCTTTATCAGGAACAAGAAGCAACAGTGAGAACCAGTAACGGCAATACTGAGTGGTTTGGAATTGGCAGGGGAGTACGCCAAGGCTGCATACTGTCTCCTAAGCTTTTAAATATTTACTCTGAGGACATTATGAGAGATGCTCTGGAAGGATTCAATGGGAGAGTTAATTTTGGAGGTAAAAAGATCACGAACCTAAGGTATGCTGATGACACCACACTCGTTTGCAGCAGCAGAGAAGCGCTGATTGATTTGTTGAATCGCATCAAACAGGCAAATGAAGAGAAAGACCTTCTTCTAAACACCCAAAAGACAAAAATGATGGTTGTCGATAGAGATAATAATAACACTGACTTCACCGTAGCTGGAAATAAGATTGTGGTGGTAGTAGCGATGGGGGTGGTGATGGTGGTGGTGGTGATGGTGGTGGTGGTAATGTCGATGGTGATGATGATGATGATAATGATGATAATGATGATTGTGGTTGTAGTAGCGATGGGGGTGGCGATGGTGGTGGTGGTGATGGTGGCGATGGTGGTGGTGGTGGTGGTGGTGGTTGTGATGATGATGATGATGATGATGTGATGGTAGTGGTAGTGGCAATAGAAGTAGATTGCTTTAGCTGAGAGGACAATGTTTCAAGTTTTTATTTATATTGTTGTCTTACAGAGCATCAAGAGAACATCCATCATTTGAAGGCAAGAAAAACAAATCATCAATCTGGACATTGTAAGTAAATATTCTATTTCATAAATTTTCCTTAA